GCGAAGGTGAATTATTAGCAAACGCGTAACGAGTGATAAATGACGAACAGTGGTCAACGGTATTGAATGGTCTTGTTTAATGACCGGCATTGGTCAGCAGTATTGAATGGCCAGTTGACGTCCTAGCAACTGCTAACGTCATATGATCACGATGTCCATGTAGGATAGGGTCACTCAAGAGACGGTGTGTTTTTATGACGAAACAAATATGGCCCGCGTTATCCTGATATCAGTCTTACAACCAATTAATTACTATTAATATGCCAATTACTCTATTAAGAATCCCCGTACCTCGGCCAAAACTGTTCCTACACATCAGAATCTTATTTTCCGGCATGAATTTAATTTTTATAAATCATTTCCGAAAAGAAAACCAAAATTAAGGGGATTTTACAGAAAAAATACGGTTGAAGTAAATTATAAAAAGTCATGAACAACAGGTTCTGAGTGTAAAAATACAACCGGGCTTGTCCAATCCCCGGATCTCATTTGTATACTGTTGATCGTACTCACTGAGCTCCCTCGTCTGCGGAAGATGAATTTAGTGAATTTGTCTAATTTTGGTTAATATCATTTTAAATTAAGATGGCTAACTTCGGTCACATCGCTTGCATTCCAGAGTAATCTATTTCATATACAGAATACCAGTAACTGACAGCAACTATAACTATAAAGTCAGTGGAAGGACTTGGGCGTTATGGGGTGGGTTTTTTTATTTATTTATTTTTGTTGCATGCGGAGGCTTTCAAAAATTGAAAAACGATTAGTTCATTTCCTTCAAAATGACCAATTTCAACCAAATAGCACACAACAGACGATATTCACGCATTTCATCATGGAAATGCGCGTGTATGGCTCTATTCGTAATGCCATATCTCCTAAACCAGTTGTTGAAATTTCATATTTGCGTACTTCATTTATTCCAGATTACAAATTTAACAACTAATCCTAATTGCCCATTGAGGCCGGAAATGACCCTTAACGCCCCTAGTCCTTTAAAAGCCATTTGCTATAATAATCGAAAGTGAGCGAGCTATTAAAAAACTACCTAGTCTCTGCACCTTTCCCGTGGTGGGGGGATTGAGTACCTCAATGACCTGGATAGCTATGCTGGTTGGGGCGTTGTGCTACTGGTAGAGGTCACACAATCCAGACAAGTTGAAAGGTAGAGGTCAGACAAAGCAGCACCGTCCTTTGGCCGGGACGCAAATGCTAGGATAGCACCGTTGTACATTCCTTCATGGGGGTTTGGTATACAGCCCTTTGTGCGTTCCTCTGGAATGATCGGGCCGTGGTAAATACTCAGAGTCCCATGTATATAGTATAGCTATTGTTTCTGTCTTTTCTTTTTTCTTTTCTTTCTCTTTGTTCTTTCTCCTTTTTCACACCTTTAACATTTGATTTAGTATTTGTTTTTGTCAACCATTTGTTGGCCCTAATGACCTATACTGTGTTGATGCGCCGTTAAGCATTGATAATATTCAAAAACATATGCATTGATGAAAATAATTACATTTTTGTCTACTTCAAAAGATCCTCACTCGCCAATAGTTACGATTAACGTAAGTCAGATTCCATATTAATAGGTAAAGGTCACTATATGGCCATTTCCATATCCTACTCCGTATCAGCCCGAGACTGCCATGTCAGCCCGAGGGCCTCCGACCGAGGGCTGATACAGAGTAGGATTTGGAAATGGTAATATGGTGGCCTATTTTATCCTATACTGCCCTGTAAGATCAAACTTATTAAGAATAACACATAAAACCTGCATAAAGGTATAGTTCACGATAAAACTAAACTATAACCTGATTCTACCTTAGATAAAACACAATAAACGTAATAGCAAATATAGATGGTCCGGGATATGCAAAACGACTAATATCATGGTAAGTATATGATAAAAGATGTAACAGCATAATTGATTTCAAAGACAGCCAAATGTGGAGAAATCTGTAAGGGATGTCTAATCACGGAAAACAATTTTAAACGTAATGTCGGCCACAAGTCTGAATTTCATGTGTTTTGTTAAAAGCATAGTACGAAAGATATTTAGGGTTCCTTGAACCATCAGTCATATTATGAAAGAAAATATTGATAAGGATTTTTAATCGTCAATTTTTTATCAAGATATTCAGTTGACCAGAGTATATTTATTAGAACTAAATATATACATTTAGACGAAACATGTTTACGTAGATGTACAAATGTACTTGGTTTATATATATATATATATCGCAATCTCAACATGTGTTTAACCTTCTGTAAGGCGACTGATTAGTAACATTTTGTCGCGGCAACGAAACCAAGAAGCGACTTTTTATTTTCTTGAACGGCGCTTTGTCGCTTTTCGCGATTCTTTGAAAGAAACGGATTATGTGTTTTTTTCAAAAGGCGATCTGTCGCCTTTGACAAAGCAAAAAAAATAACGTTTAACAACATAAAATGGCATTTGTTCGCTTTGTGCTGTGACAAAGCGCCGTTTAAAAAATTACTACAAATTAGCGTTTTTTTCACTTTGCAGCGACGGACAATCACCATTTCTACAATAAAATGGCGTTTTTTTTACTTTCCACGAAAACCAACAAACCAAACCGCCATTTGGCAAAAAAGCAGAAGTGGTAATAATCAGTCACCATACTTCTGTTATCACTACAAGGACATGGTCATACGTTTACCTCAAAGTGGATGTTGTAATAATACTTTTAAGTATTTTTTCACATGATTATTGAATTTGGGATCGAAATTCATCTGCCATTTCGTGGTTGAAATATGCCACCGTGCAATCATGATTACCACATCCAAATGGTTTTACCCAAAATAAAACATCTTTCACGAGGGTAAAGCCCTTTTTCTCTCCGAGATTAGTCATGTTTTACGAGGGTAAAGTCCTTTTCTCTCCGATATTAGTCATGTTTCACGAGGGTAAAGCCTTTTTCTCTCCGCGATACGTCATGTTTTACCAGGGTAAAGCCCTTTTCTCTCCGATATTAGTCATGTTTTACGAGGGTAAAGCCCTTTTCTCTCCGAGATTAGTCATGTTTCACGAGGTTAAAACCCTTTTCTCTCCGAGATTAGTCATGTTTTACGAGGGAAAAGCCCTTTTCCCTCCAAGATTAGTCATGTTTTACGAGGGTAAAGCCCTTTTCTCTCCGAGTTTAGTCATGTTTCACGAAGGTAAAGCCCTTTTCCCTCCGAGATAAGTTATGTTTCAAGAGAATAAAGCCCCTTTCCCTTCGAGATAAGTCATGTTTCACGAAGGTAAAGCCCTTTTCCCTCCGAGAATAGTCATGTTTCACGAGGGTAAAGCCCTTTTCCATCCAATATAAGTCATGTTTCACGAGGTTAAAGCCCATTTCCCTAAGGGATTAGTCATGTTTCGCGAGAGCGAAGCCCTCGAAAAAAATTATTGATCTCGGGGAAAACAATTATTTGGGGTTTATATATAAGATTGAATTCCGCTTCATGTTGGTTAATATAACTTAATTTCTGAAATAAAACTTCGTATTCATTTCTTCAAAAGTACTTTATTCACGAGAAAGTCAAAGGTTGATAATAATTACCGTTTATGTCTGGTCGAGACCCTGCCTCAATCCCATTGGGTCCGCAACTATGTACAAATGGGATTCTACTGTACAAATCGAGGAGTCATAATGAAATAACTATACATTGGCGGAACTGTCGGAACTCTTTTGTATTCTCCATGTATTTACGAAGACGTGGCATCGTTAATCTGGGCCATGTTAAAGTATGATCTACGGCAAGACAAGTTGTCATTTATTCATGGAGCAATGTTGATCCTGTACTTAATCAAATTATATAAGATATCTTATAAACATATAAGATATCTTATAAACATATAAGATATCTTTTAAACATATAATATATCTTATTTAATGTTTATGAGATAGCTTATATGATATATAAGATATCTTATAAAAGCAATAAGATATCTCATAAACTTTTCTTATATAATATATAAGATATCTTATATCTTTTATAAGATATCACAATTAATTTTCTTTATAAGATATCTTAAGATATCTCGTAAAAGATATAAGATATCTCGTAAAAGATATAAGATATCTTATAAAGAAAGGTTTATGAGATATCTTATAAAGAACGAGACTCTCGCGAGACCGTCAAAGAAGAAAAAATAATGCTCCCGTTGTAAGGTCACATCCGTTTTCGTTGGCGATAATTCGGTTAAAGTACTGGATCAACATTGCTCCATGAATAAATGACAACTTGGCTTGCCATAATTATATGTAGTTTAGTTCCGAGCGCTCAGGGGGAGGGTTTATTATCTCAAACTCAAATATCGTTCTTTATAAGATATCTGATAACCGAATTATATAAGATATCTCATTTAATTTTGTTTATACGACAACTTATATAGTATATAAAATATATTATAAAACATATAGGATATCTTATATAATGTATAAAATATTTCTTTTTTTTATAAGATATCTTTTATAATATATAAGATATCTTATAAAGTATATACATGTAAGATATCTCATTTAGTATATAAGATATCTTATATAATTATATAATTTGGTTAAGTACTGGATCAATATTGCTCCATGAATAAATGACAATTTGGCTAGCCATAATGTTTGTTTGGAAGTGAGTTTTAACTTAGAAAAACCTTCCAACATTATCTGGAGAATAAACTTAAAACAGCTTTAATCGTTTTCTATATCTATACGAGTAGTTAGATATGTTACATGTTTGTGCTAGACATGCGAACGCTGAACAGAAATGAGCGTTGTCATTCTCATTAACGGCTTTGCATTAGTTAAACAATTATCTATACCGTCCTCTTCATACAGCAACTGATTGGCTGTACATAATGTACCTACTTCCCCAGACAGCTATATATCAGTGCTGTGATTGGCTGTACCACCATGAATGCGTTTTTCACACCGCTATCCGTATTATATATTTCACCGGGAACACATTATCACATTCTCATCCAGAAGTGTATGAAAACATCTAAGGTATTATTATTCAACAACCCAAAGAAAATCTGTGGTAAGTGGGGTTCTTAATTATTTTATAGATCTGCTCATGTGAAAAGTCAAATTTGTATGTGACTTCGTTTTATGCTATGATTGGTTAAAAGACGCGTATATTACATAGTGCTTGGGTTGTTTTTTTTGTTTTTTGTGCGTGTGTAGTTTATCATTTTGTTCATAGGTAGAAACAAAACTGCATTTAACATCGTTCAAGAGTGTTATCAGAAATCTTAACATATTTGCATAATAGATTAGCATTTTCTTCAAATTACGAGAGTGAAATTTCTAAAACTTACATAATACTTTCAGAAAAAAATAAGGTTGCCTCTATTTGGGTTTTTTTAAATTCGAAATCTCCAATGTTTTACATATTTCTGCGGATTTAACGGTTGATATAACATTTATGATGCTTAACTTTTCTTAATGTTCACAACATTAATAGGAAATATATTTCTTTTTCTAAAACAGCTGGAAAATGAGTGATCTGTTTGTTTCTTATTTTGCCTTATTTGAGTTCGTGCTATTTTTCAACAGTACCAATTAGCAATGCGTAGAGTGCAAGAATTATACGTTTTTGTGGTTTTTAAAATTAGCTACCGAATCGATTATTTTCTTTAACTTATATAAAAATGTTCTACAAAAGTAAGTACTTTTTTCAAATGAATGTTTACTTTTAAAATTCATTATTGATTATAATTAGTTAACTTTAATGACAACCGCTTATCAAAGCGAGACTTAAACTTGATTTGAACTTCTGAGAAAGGTAGATATTCAAATAATGTGGTATCTCTTTGTATCTACTTAAAAGAAAAACGTTTCAAGCTTTTCTAGCTTCTCATACGAAAAGGTTGATATCATTTTTCATGTGTATGGTATTTCTTCTCCATTTCTTTCTTCTTCTTTTTTCTTCATCCTCTTTTGCGTATTATGTCTGTAGGTAATTATTGTGAATCTCAATAGATCTTATTTCATTTCCTATTTAAACACTTACGAAGGTAACGCGTATTACAGATTCCCGTTTCATTACCAACTGTAACTTTAGACTGGGAACTTTCTTACCAACGTGAAAATAGCCGAAAAAAATATTTCTGATAAGAAAAAACATATATCTTGCGGAATTTGTTAACAAATGATCCCTTCAACGATTAGACTTTGAATGTTTAACTACAATTACCACAATAAAGATATTTCTTCACATCGTACTCCGTAATGATAGCTAGAACCCGTCATAAAGGCGCTTTCTAAACACCTGTGGATTGGAGTTGATATCTTAAATTACCCCAAACAATCTCTTATATATACGCCATTGTGAGTTAACCTTTGTTGGCGGTATGGTGTCCCGTATGTAATATCCGTCAACAAATTCAGTGTATACAATAACAAATCCATTTGAAAAAGTATGCCTTAAAACTTCTTCTATTTCAGGTAAAAATCGGTATGTCTGTCGACCTTTTCAAAAACGAGTCGATGTCTAACATCACCGGAAGTATCGTCATCAGTGATAGTAATTCATCTGGCGAAATTCCTGACGTTCCGGAAGTAGATCAGCTGCAAAGGGTGCTGAACGGCCTGGGTTACTTCGACTACTTTTACTTCCCGACCTTCCTGTTGCTTGGCCTTGTAGGAAACACTATGACTATCATCATCATGAACAACAAATCCTTCTCTAAGCTTAATTCTCGTCTACTTTTGATTTGTCTGGCTTTTTCAGACACCCTCCTACTTCTCACCCAGCCTTTCAACAAGAAGTTTGTCATCAAGATGCTCGGAACAGACCTGCGCGCGCTCTCCGATATCGGATGTAAGACTTTCTTCGTCTTCTTTCGGACCGGAAAGATGACGTCATCTTGGATTGTTGTATTTCTCTGCGTCGAGCGTTTCGTTGCCGTATGGTTTCCTTTGAAAGCGAAACGGATAACTACAAAACTGAGAACTATCATAGCACTTATCGTCGTCTATTTGGTTATGATAACATTCAATAGCGTCTGGTCTTTTAGTTCTCTTATTATAAACGGCATGTGTTATCCCGATGCATACGACCGCTCCGATCCATTTCTATCAACCAAGTACGAGAACATGATTTACATGGGCTGTGCCCTCTACTCCATCGGCCCCATGTGCATCATGGCCGTTCTCACAATCCTGATTTTGTACAAACTTGCTGTGTATCGGCATAAGAGAAAACAAATGACGTCACACGCCAGCAAATCGGATACCGAAGGCGTGAAAACAACCGCAATGTTGTTAGGTATTGTCACAGCTTACATCGTTCTCGTACTTCCGGTTACGATGCTTCACTTGATGGCATTCTTTTTCAAAATCAACGCATTTGGAAATAACGCAAAAGGGTTCCTGGTCTTCAAAGAAGTATCTCAACTGTTGGAACAACTCAATTATTCCATCAATTTTTTCCTCTACATCACGACTTCAACCCAGTTCCGGGAGGGACTTTATGACCTCCTTAAGATCGCTAAATGTCAGAAATGCTATCGATCAATCATGCGCAGCGCTGATAGCAATCAACAAACCAACTCGACCAAAAACAACAAATCCAAAAAATCGTCCCAGGAGAGAAATTGTAACGCAAAAGGAAGTCCTATAGAGGTTGATGTTGTTAACGGCGATCAACATGGAGGAGCAGATGGCGCTGATGAAAAGCCGATGCCCTTCTTCCAAGTTGAACCAGATAAGGGGCCCTCATTAAATGCAATGAACAATCAACTGTGACGTGACAGGCTCTCGATATTCCGTCTTTGCGTATTGCAGAGTTATCTTCTCTTGGGAGCAGGTATTGATTGTTACGTCATTTGTTTGTAAGAGTAACGTCATCAATTTTTGAGAAAACGACGTAATTGACGTAACAATCAATATATTCCAAATGGTCCTTCGTTGTTGTTGTTTTGATCGTTGGTTGTTTTCAATCTACAGGTATTTTTTTCCATAAGATTGTGATGGGTAACATTCTATTAAAAATGGAAAATTAAGATGCTGATTTAGTGTAGATTGAATCAATGCCAAGTATTATTGAAATAGTTTATTTAAGTATCTGTACATCAAAGAAAAAAAATCTAAAAAAAAGTCCTATTTGTTTGAAGTCTAGAGTACATACTTCCACTATATAATGCTATTCTAACAGTGTTGGCACGGTCGCTATCCGATCTACCAGCTATAGCACATACAATCGCCAGGTCATATGCGTAGTGATTTATTGTTGTTGTTTGTCAATGTAGTTTGTATTAGGTGTGTTGATAAAAAAAAATGTGTAAATAAAGTTTGTGCATCTTCTACATTAAGCTTGTGATAACCTTTAATCCACTATCGTTCACTTGTATGATGTTATTATTGCACATTTAGTCCCTAAATATGATGTACATTTATATACGGAATTCGATCCTTGATAATGAAATACAGAATTAAATTGGTTTCAGGGAAAATGATATCACGTTAGACAATCAAGTAAGATGGTGCTACCAGTTAAAAAATACCGGAGCCACGTGACTTGTGTGAGCTTTAAATGTATGCTTTTAAAATCCTCCAACGAATGACCAAAATAAATAATAACAACAATTCCTGCAAAAGACAAGCCCCTAGTTAACGGGGAGTAAATCGGCTACCACGGTCAACCACGCCGACTGGCCGACTTCCTGTCTACCACAGAGTGTAGGAACCAAGGCTTTTGGACCATTTTGGTATTATTATCCCAATCAATACATGTGTGATAGCTACATTTTGAGGCGTATCTAGCAATGTATTATTGCTGCGTTGGATCTGGATTAAGCACAGTATTTTGAACATTAAATGACGCAACGTTGTGTCGCTTTAAACCAAAATGTAATAACAACAATTGCAAGATAGATCTGAATTCAATTTCAATTTTCTACATTAAATTATTTCAAATTCGTATTGGACGTATCTATGGCGATTACTATTTGTTGATAGCGTTTCAAGAAAAGTGTTGTTTTTATTGTTATTGTTGTTTGCAGTTGGCTGTTGAAATGATTACATTACTTTGTTGATATTTAATAAACTGTTGTAAGTTAATAAACTGTTGTAAATTAATAAGTCGGTGTTTTCATTGATCTACCAGACAGATAACCAACTGTTTACAAAACTGGCAGTTGCCACACCTACCTTTAACAGAGAAAACACCATTTTGGATTTTTTTAAACTGGTATCTGAAATCAGAGGACTATGTAGGAGTTTGACCTTTTACGTCTTTTGTGATCTTCGCTTCTCTGTGTGATACGAGACACGCCGTCATGCCTGCTACTAATTTATCTTTTTCGAAATTTCGCAAACTCATGTTCCGTGGCTCAGTACAGGCCGTACAATATTTGACCTTTGACTGTGGACTTCAACTTGAGGGTACCGACTTGTCTCACTGCAGGCAAAACACTAGATAAGTCTATTGTACTTTTGTGTACATACAGCAACACCCCTTAATTTTGCTACGGATGTAAACTACCGTTGACAAGGAAGCGCAGTTGATTATAGCCTCGATATCCAGGGGTTACGCTCACTTTCGTTCTCTGAATCCCTGGAATATGTCATTGCAAAATTGAAGGCACGCGTCTAGCTATTTGATTGGTGTCGGGTAACAAAACCTGACCAATCACTAGACTGATACTTGTCCTTTGAAGAGGAGCGACGCCCGACTTCAAAGCCATTAAGTTTTACCGTTACGCGACCGCAAGATTCTTTTGATGTACATCAAATCCACAGGGCTGTGCACACTTGAGTCTTCGATTTTGCAATGACATATTCCAGGGGTGCATAGAGCGTAAGTGAGCGTAACCCCTGGATATCGAGGATGCAGAGACATATATAATAATGTCTCTGTTTTCAATGGACGTCAGATCTTCACTGGCAAGAGTGTGTATAGAGCGTGTATTCTTTCAAAATGGTATTCGTTTCCCCATATTAATGAATGAAAACTGAGAATCAGAAATAATGCACCATTGTTTGAAGTAGTGCCAGAAAAAAACTGAACTTATTGGAGCAATATCACGGTGACTGTAAACAGCACACCAACGGCAAGTTAATAGAAATTGTGGCCGTCTTACCAGTGTTCGAATCCTAGTTAGTCTGGCTTAATAATCTCTTTATTATGTTTTCATGAAATTTACGTGAGGAGTGTGGGTTTTTTTTCAGAAATTATTCATCAAAGATATAGCCATACCGAGAAAAACGTTTCCAGTTCGTGTTTTTTTTTTTAAGAAAGTGGTGCACGCTCTTTAATTCCTAGGAGCTTTAGTATTTATTAACCTTAGTGTATGCCAGCTTTGTGGTTGTTCAAAAAAAAAAAAGCAATGGTCTATTTGCACAAAAACAAGAGGCCCAATGGCCTTAGCGGTCACCTGAGTTATATCATAGGTACTGGTAGCGTTATTTTATTGTTTAGATGTGATGTGTAAATCACCATGTAAACTAAGTGAAATACAATACTTGTCATGTCACCAAAGGATAAGAATTTTAAAATATTGGTAAATGTTCCCTTAGGGGCCCCAATTTCACTATGTAATACCCTCATTCACCAAAGATGATTCTGACTAAGTTTGAGTAATTTTCTGCTGAAAATGGATAAAATATACCCAAAAGTGTTATTTCCCTATATAAACTATAGTAAACAGTCCCCAAGGGAGAACAGATAGCTCGGGGGTCCTGAAATTTACAATTTAAATAAAGCCCCTAATGATCTTTCTTTTTATGCACTGAAATTGAATGTAGTACCTATGAGTCTGGAGAAGATTTTTGAAATATTGGTTAATTTTCCCTTTGGGGCCCTGTCTGGCCCCTAGGGTTGGGGTAGGAATCTCAATTTTACAATTTAAAACCATCTTCCTCCAAGGATAATTCTCACCAAGTAAAAATAATTTCCTATAGAAAGTTGTCAAAATACCCCCAAAAGTGTTATTTCTTTATATAAACTATAGTAAACTTTACCCCCTCCCCAAGGGAGAAAGGATAGCTCAGGGGTCCTGAAATTTACAATTTAAATAAAGCCCCTGATGATTTTTCGTTGCATGCAGAGAAAATGACTGTAGTACCTCCGAGTCTGGAGAAGAAGATTTTTGAAATATTAGTTAATTTTCCCTTTGGGGCCCCACCCTGGACCCAGGGGTTTTGGTAGGAATCTCAATTTTACAATTTTGTAGCCTCATCTACCAAGGATGATCCTGACCAAGTTTGAAAAAATTCCATCCACTGGTTCTTGAGAAGAAGTTGAAAATGTAAAAAGTTTACGCAGGACAGACGACATACCACGACAGACGGAAAGCGATTTGAGCAAAGCTCAGGTGACATAAAAAGGCCCCCAGCCCACAGTTTGACATCAAATAATCGTACATGTATATAATCATTCATGATATTGAATCCATTCAACGGTAGAGATGTTAGGAAATATTTTTTTGCACAAGTACAAAAAAGGACCTTTTCCAGTTTTATTTAAATTACATAGGAGCCTGCCCCCTCATAACTTTCGTTTCAGAAGAGCTACGAGATTTATGCTGCTGTTTTAACTTTTTTTCAATCCCTTATACATCTGGAGTTATTACTTTTAATAACTAACTATTTACATAATTAATCAACCTAATAACAGCATGGGGGTCAAAAAACGGAATATCAGCCTGAATGGGAAAGAACAATTTCTTTCATGCAATGCTGAAATAGCATAAATTTACCAGAATGTGAGGGTAATCGAACATTTTGTGAATATTTGATGTAAAATACAGGATTTTTCATTCTTATTATTATTGTATACCAAACATTTTTATAGTATGAAGAAGTGGTGGTATTTCAAATATGTATGCAAACATTCAGTCCTTAAAAGTGGTGGAAAGTATTCATTTCGCACAACAAAGTACCATGTGTACCAGAAAACGTGAGGGCCTAGGACACTTCAATGGCGTACACCAGCAAGCGATGCACCTGATCACAGGTAATTTGTAACGAAAGTCTTTGCAAGCCTACAACAAATTCGGCTGGTTAACAATCCATTTTGATATCAAATATAATATCCTTCTCACTTTTTAGAATTTGTTCTTGTACATTTTATTATCATTTTTTATACATTTTATCATCTGAGTTTTGTTTTACAGTGCGTTTAGGGGATATTTCACACTCATTTGTTAATATTCAAGAGTAATTGGTGAAGGTTGTCATCATATCTGCGAGAAATCTCGTAAATGTACAACAGCAAAAACACACAATATAAATGACTTTTGGCTTAACTGACTAAAAGTGGATTGACATTAGTATTTGGCCGAAGTGCTCCATAAGCTATCTGCGCAAAATGAATCTTGAAACAGAACTTTTGGAAGATCATGGGAAACCTTCATGTGATATTTGAGAAAGATCCCTCCAGTAATTTCTGAGAAATAACGCTGACAAGAATTGTTTAAGGACGGAAGGACGGACGGACGGACGGACCACAGACCACGGGTGATTTGAATAGCCCACTATCATCAGATGGTGGGCTAAAAAAAAACTGAAGTCTTTCAGTTTTCAAGTACAAGTTGTACCAATGAGTAGACACTGCACCATGTTTATGCTAGGTGAACTAATAATTGAGAACAGTTGGATCATTCACACATTTATTCATGAATTGTACAGTTATGACATTGATGAACAGGTTCAACATTTAAATACTGGTAAAAATAATGTGTAACCATTACATACTTGCCAACCCTCCCTATTTAGGAGGGGGACTCCCGATTTTGAACCCTTAAATTTAGCATTTTCAACTGGTGAATTTGCTAAACTATTCCTATATTTAAGATCTTATGATTTCATTTGAAAGAACAACTCAAAATGTGTCACTTCAAAGGGTTATTTTGTCTCTAGGGGATGTATGCACACATTTTATTTAAGCTTTAAACTTAAGAGTGCAGAATCTCCCCCATGGAAATCTCCAAAAGTTGGCAAGTATGTTAGTATAACCCTCTATTTAATTGTCAACCTTGATAGCCCATTCTTACATCCTCAGACCACTACAACAAACATGAATCTGCTGGTACTTGAACTTCACATTTCATATTGTATATCATGTATATGTCTTTTATTCATTTTTATTGAAATTGATTTTTTTCTGAATTCCTTAACATTCATATAATCTCATTTCTTTGGATTTTATACATGACTGTCAAAAAATGATAAGTAGCAGTTAAATGAAATGAAAAACTTTCACAATAACCAACATTCTATGAATGCTTCATTACTTCCAAGTATAAAGTCAAGTACATACATGGTACTTAAATGTCAAATCCATTCATAAATCGAACAGTCACCACAAATCTGATTGTCCTACTAACCAACCAGCGTTCACCGTACAGATTGGCCTTATTTCTATACAAAATTGTCCCAGTTAGTATTAACTAATTCAACCCCGAAAACATATACGAACTCTTCCAATGCATAAGTTGGAATAGTTCATTATGAAATTTCAGGGACGAATGAGTTAAACCAATTCAGCCATATATCGAGGTTCCGTAGTTAATGTAACTTCTGTGTTAAGTTCATATCTAAGAAACCAGGTCTTATTTTGGCAAATTTGTCAACTCTAAAAATACATGCTGAATGTAAATTCCATTACCTCCCAAATAGAGAGCATCTGTAAGGACTTTTTGACAAACAACATGGCATAAAATGTATACCCTCATATCTTACTTTTTGCTTCCCTTATCCCTTGCCCCTTGCACTGCAATCCCACTTAAATCCTATGAATGGACAAATGTACAATTAAAAAGAAAACGAGTGTTAGAAACAAGAATAATTCACAATTCAAAACTCAGAACAGTTTTCTGTTTTTTATACATCGTAAAATGACAAATCTATGGTTTTCAGTCCCTTGCATATTCATATATTCACACATTTTCACTTGTCTTAAATACATTTTTACAAAATCATCCCGTATCCGATTCCTTTCATCCTAGCTGTGTTAAGTCACTCAGGTACCCCCTGGAAAGAGCTTTGCATAGCAAGGCATCTAAGCTGTATACATAACGTCTGTACAAATTGTTCACGTTAGCATTTGCCAGTCAGTTCTATCCTCCATATCTATATCACTTTGTCAACTCTCATTTCCTTTAGACATGAATTATGGCAGTTTATCAAATGTTGAGATGGAATCTGATGAAAAAAATTGTTTTACTTCCTTCAAATAAGATGATAAAAAACATTCTACAAACGTATCGTACATGTATATGTGTATTATATACAGTAATTAACTTAGTGTATGAACAGCCAAATATGTGTCAATCAGTAAGGAATACTGTTTACACAACACCATTAAGAAAAGCTACAGAAAAAAAACACAAATAAATAAAAGGTTCCTTTAAACAGTAACTGACAAGAAACTACCCACATAATAATAAACATGCATGACAATTATAAGCTTTCATGATAATAATAGACAATGTATAGATGACATCACAATGAATATTTACAGGGCCCTAGGCTCTGGTCTTCAAGAACTGCATTCTTTCTTTTTTCCTTTTTTCATTGTACCGATTAAAAAAATCTCCCATAAATATATCCTTGTAGTGTTCCTACTCTGTTCATAACTGAATATTGAATTATATGTAACTAACGGTTTTACCCCGTATGCACTTATACTGTAGGGTACCAGATGTTTGGAGGATTTCAGCGCGATCATATTCCAATATCCATGATTATAGGGAAATAATGTCCTCTCAAAATTACGGACATACGAGCTACTATAACATTGATTACATTTCATTGTCATTTATAACGATACTTACTGTAAACTTATGTTTAATTTAACCATTTAAGTTATTAAAAAAATATTTCAATGTAAAGTCTTGTAAAAATTGTTTTAGGGCCAGGTCCCATTGATGGATGCTGGCTTCGGGAAAAAACTGTTTATCAACTTACATACAGAAGTAAACACACACAAGTGGTAATTTACTTCTGATATCGCTATATTGGTCATAATCACAATATGCCGAAGAAGCCGTCTAGAATTGGCTTCAGATGATCCTTGTTTGACGGAGTTCTTCAGAGTAATATGATGATGATGATGATAAAGAGTCTGGCTTTGAGAGGAGCTTTTGTTTGTTACAGAGAATGTCATCACTTGCTAAGTTCCTGTGATAACCAGTCAAGACCTTCATATAATCCAGTTCCAGCTGTGGCACACGCACTTTGTACATACCACTGAAAAATGATCAATTTTATAAATGTGTAATATACCACTGTTCATCTCAACATTACAAAAGAAAACTCCGCCCCCAAAAAATATATGTGCGTTTCCTGTTTCTGCTTGGAAAAGAAATAGCGTCGGTAGGAAGGCAATTTTTATTTTTTATTTTTACTATGCTTTTTAAATAGAGCAGGAGTTCTGACTTTAACAGTGCTTATCACTAAATGTCATAGATAAAAACTTTAGAGTAAAGGCACAAAAATCTGGAATTTAGAGATTTTCATTCTAAAATGAAATGAAAACTGATAAATATGAGAAAATTTTCGCCCTTTGACTAATATCTGCGAATTCTAAACGGAATATATCGAAAATGTTAACCACTTTTACAGACCTTATCACATGTTATAACAACTTATAACCCAACGCTGTTATGCAAGCTGAAATGAACTTCAATCAGATTATCACCGGACAACTGGGCAGTTCATGTAAAAACAACTCTAAGTGGCCACAACATATTTATGTGTACACAGTCGGTGATTAATTGATTACAGTTTACTCCTACAAAGGTACATACACATTTGGTAGACGACACTCAGGACCAGTGTTTTCAAACGGTTTATCTGTATTTCGAGGTTTGACCCTTAAATGACGACACTCAAAATACTTTACACGACACATGGAAAATTTAACCCCCGTGAATATGTACTCGATACGAAACCGCGAAATATCGACCCCGCAAATTTAGAGCGCTATACAGTACCTCACACGGAAGTTATTTTTATGGAAAGAATGACACTTCCATATGTCAATTCAAACACATGACCATTAAAGCATGGTTTGTTGCATCAGTTTCTGTCAAGATATTTTATTCGGCAAAAATCTTTCAACTGCAGTATACGTTTTGACTATGATGGCAAAAAGGAACGTAGCAGAGGTCATGATTTTTTCTATGCCTTTTAGGAACAGAACATACCCAGAAGAACCACTGGTTTTCCACCAAAGGAGCTAAAGATAAACCCTTCCTGGCAATGTCAGTAGCGTCTTCGCTAGCCAAGTGTTCGCTTTGTATACACTCCACTTACCCTTAACCAAACATTTTCTATAAGTAGATAATGCAAACTTATCTTTAGTTTAACTTAATTTTTGGTCCAAACAAGAAACAAGAGGCCCAATGGGCCTGCATCGATCACCTGGTATTAATCTCACACTTGTAATCTTAAAAGTGGACTGAAATACAGCTACAGGCAGAATATCAGTGTTTGATTCATAAGAACCTATTAAAAGATTTAAACATATGACGCATGTGACCTTGAATGTCGAACAAGGACATAAGGTTGAAATTGGGTCAACGTCATTTATTTGAACAAACATGGTAGTCCTTCATCCCAGCATGCTACAGGCCCAATTTCAGTACCCTGCGCCTTTTGGTTATTGAGGAGAAGTGGTTTGAAGATTATACAACATTTGACTCCTGTGACCTTGAAAATTGGTCAGTCATTCAATTGAACAAATTTGGTAGCCCTTCATCCGAGCATGCTAACGGCCCAATATCAGTACCCTGTGCGTTTTGGTTATTGAGAAGAAGTTGTTTGAAGATTTTACGACATTTGATCCATGTGACCTTGAAAGTGGGTCAAGGTCATTCATTTGAACAAACTTGGTAGCCCTTCATTTCAGCATGCTACAGGCCCAATACCAGTACCCTGGGCCTTTTAGTTATTGAGAAGAAGTTGTTTAAAGATTTTAAGACATTTGTTCCGTGACCTTGAAAGTGGGTCAAGGTCATTCATTTGAACAAACTTGGTATCCCTTCATCCCAGCATGCTAGGGCCAAGTGAGCTAAAAATTAATAGATGGAAGGATAATTATATAAAGAATAGACCAGTGACTCTGTCACACAGCTTAACAAGCACTTCCTATATCAATTTGGTGAACAATTACTGTGCCAGGGTTTACATTACTTACGTTCTTCCCTCGCATACTATTTAAACCCAATTTTTCTGTGATCTCAGCCATGGACAAAGCATTAGGCAGATCTTGTTTGTTGGCAAACACCAGGAGCTTAGCATCTTTCAACTCATCTTCTTTAACCTATGAAAGAAAAAAACATCAAAATGTCATTCAGTTCTAAATTGTGTTCGATCAGTTTTATTCAACACATGAGGAATTCATAGGCAAAACCTGAACATTTGTTGTCCAGGTTTATAACTGATGTTAAATAACCTGTCCTTATAAATATGATTAACTGAAACAGTGCCAACTTCAATATAACAGCATCTCATAGAACATGTTGCATAGAGGGTGAAAATCGGCTCAAGATAAATTTTGTGTTTTAGTGTAAATCAATGGACTTCAATATGAGTCAAGGTCATTTTTTCAAACAACCTTTGTAGCCCTTCAAGTTCAATCTAGCATGTAATTGGCAACATATCATCATCCTGGGCCTTCTGGTTGTTCAGAGGAAGTTGTTCAAACATATTTGACCCCTGTGACCTTGGATATAGTCAAGGTCATTCTTTTGAACGTTTGTAGCCATTTATCTGAACAAGCTTGAAGTCAATATTCAGGAGTTTGGTTAGATGTTTTTTTCTAAAACGATCGACCCTTGTGACCTTGAATATGGGTGAAGGTCATTCATTTGAACAAAGCTGGTAGCCCTTAATCCCAGTATGCCGCTGGCCAAATATCATCTACCTTATCATATTGGTTATTCATGAGAAGATATTTAAAGTTTTTAACTTATTTGACTCTTGTGACCTGAATAGCATGCATCTGAACAAAATTAGTACACCGTCATCCTTGTATTTCTGGTCATTCAGAAAATGTTAATTGAAGATTTTTTGAGACAACAGACCCGTGTGAGCATTTCGTTTAAACAACTTTGTAGCCCTTCATTCCAGCATGTACTGGCAACATATATCAATTGTTACCTTCTGGTTGTTTAGAAAAGGTCCTTTAAATATTTCTATATATTTGACCCTTGTAACCTTAAATAAGCCAAGGTCTTTCATTTGAACAAACTTTGTAGTCCTTCATCCAAGCATGCTACTTGCCAAATATAATCATCCTGGGCCTTTTGGTTATTTAAAGAGTTTTTTAAGACAATTGACCCCTATGACCTTGGGTAGAAGTCATGGTCATTTATTTGAATGAACTTGGCTGCACTTCATCCCAGCATGCTATTGACCAAATATCATCAACCAAAACCTCTTGGTTATTCAGAAGAAGTTGTTTAAAGCAAAACGTTGATGCCAGACAGATGTATGGACACTGGGTGGACACAGGATGCTGCACCATGGCTTCAGCTCACATTGCCCTTTGGGCCAGGTGAGCTAAAAACATGACCCAATAGAATTGTTCTTATTTCTTTTTTAACTTTTAAGAAGTCGATGTGTTGGGTATGGACACCCTTGTGAAAAGAAAGCACTACAAAGTTGATGGAATCAAAATTAAATGGAATAACTAAATATATTGCCTTGCTAGATATTCCATATTGCATATTTTAAGTTCATTGTCCCATCAAGATTGGGTGTCATATGAGGATAGTTTGAAATGTGATTGAGCAACGTAGATTCGCACAATTTGCCAATATGCATGGAAAACAGCACGACATAGTAATGCAGAAATGCCACCTAGTCTGACAGTAGTAAATGGACATACATTGGTGGCAGCCCCTCCATTTGTACAATTTTGAATCCCCACCTGAGGATGCTACCAAGCTGTTGGTTTCCTTTACTTCGTTTCGGACAAGTAGCTTAAAACAATATGACCAAATTACCCTTTTTTTTGTCCCCGACCCTCAGCCCCCTGGGTGGTTAGGCCCTCAATTTGTAAAATTTTGAATCCCAACAACCTAGAGATGCTTGCAGTCAAATTTGGCTAAATTCCAAACAGCAGTTCAGAAGAAGTTGTTTGAAGAAATTGTTGAAGGATGGACAACTGACGCTGCAGTATGGCATTTATAAGCTCACCTTGCTCCTTTGAACCAAATGTAAAAATAACCTACCATTTTTGAGAGTTCTTCGCTGGCTTCCTGTATTCTTTCACTGTCATTACTGTCAACCACAAATATTAATCCCTAAAAAGATAAGAACGGGAGGAAAATGGAATTATGGCACAGTATCTTATTCGTAAATTCTTCCAAATCTTTTCACCAATAACAGTAGCCAAACTAACGCATACATTACTTCATGGTTGGTTTCAATTATCCCCTAGATATGTAATACAATGTAAAATATATGTGCTTTCAAGTTTTCTGAAATTTTCCAGGGTGGAGCATTTTACATATATTTATATGTTTTTTTAACAACAGACTATTTATGGTTTAGGCCTTTATTAGCCTCACAATTTACCCAATTTCAAAGCCTTTAATTGGACATTCGGAATAACATTTCTTTACTTTAAATACTCACCAAATACTAATATGAAAGATTTACTAGTGGCTTTTTATTAAGGTTGCCATGGATAAGAGTTCAAATTTGCATAAGTTTTAAAACTGGTCGAAACAATAGATCCACATACTACAACAAACTTAATATCGAAAGAGACATTGGTAATACATTGGTAAATATTAAGTTTATGATGGTATATATATATGTATATTCTGTCTTTTCGTATTGCAGAGTTATCTGCTCTTGTGAGCAGGTATTGATTGTTACAACATTTGTTTGTGAGAGTAATGTCATATTTTTATGAGAAAACGACGTAATTTTCTCACACAAACTAATGACATAACAATCAATACCTGCTCACAGGAGCAGATAACTCTGCAATACGAAAAGACAGAATATTAGGGATGCAATGATATATCGCGATATTTTGAATACAGTACAATACACAATATTTTTAGGCAGGTCACAAGACACCTACGATACCTTTCAAATTTTGTCGTTTCTGAATTTAGTCTACTCATATATATTATATCCATTCCAACATTGGTTTTTTATTTGCAGATATTAAGCATCCCTGTACCACTATCAAAAACAGTGCTGATAAATCATTTCTGAATAGAAAACTATACTTCACAGGACTTTTATGAACAAGAGATCCCAGAGGGATCTTGGCACCCACCATTGTACCATCTTCAATAGTTCTTTGTCAATTCGATCTTTTCTCTTCTTTCCTCTTGTTTGTTTGATCGAGTCATGTTAACAGTAAATGCACCTTGAGGTAACTTTTGATCTAAACTTAACAATGCTGTGTATGAAAGACAACCTTCAAAGTGAGTTTGTCATTTCTCATATTTACTAGTACAGTACTTAATGTGAAAGAAATAGAACTGATCATTGCAAAATCCAAGATGGCTGCCTGTCGCCTATTTTGTTTATCTGATTGGTTTCAAAAGTTAATATAAATAAGAGGCCCAGAGGGCCTGTATCGCTCACCTGAATATGTTTAAAATAATTGGTATGAAGTAGGTGCTGTAAGTACATATGAAATTTGTGAAAGATCCATACAGTACTTGAGATATAGTGAGAACAAACTTCAAACAGAGCCCACCCCTAGGGGGGGTCATACCCACCAATTATACAAAATTGAGTCCAACTGACCCAAGGATGCTCCTGACTAAAAACAGATAAAATCCCATAATCCCGATGGTCGAAGAAGGATTGAGTCCCCTTGGCCCATTGATGCTCCAGACTAAGTTAGGATAAAATCCCTTAATCTTTATGGAAGAAGAAGGATTTTAAAGGTTTTACCTCTGTTTCCCCTATTGGACCCCGCCCCTCAGGCCCCTGTGGGGACCAGACCCACAGTTTATATAAAATTGGTTCCCCTTTACCCAAGGATGCTTCACACTAAATATGGACCAACTCCTTTCATTCCTACGGAAGAAGAAAGATTTTAAAGAATAATTTGCTATGTTTCCCCTATTTGGCCCCACCCCTCAGGACCCTGGGGGGCCACACCAATGATTTATACAAGATTGGTTTCCCTTCAACCAAGGATGCTTTAGACCAAATATGGAACAAATCCTTTCATTCCTACAGAAGAAGGATTTTAAAGAATTTGTTGTATTTCCCCTGTTTGGCCCCGTCCCTCAGCCCCCAGGGGGGCCAGAGCTCCGGTTTATACAAAATTGGTTCCCCTTCACCTAAGAATGCTTCAGACCAAATATAGAACAAATCCTTTCATTCCTACAGAAGAAGGATTTTAAAGAATTTGCTTATTTGCTATATTTCCCCTATTGGGCCCCGCCCCCAGGGGGACCAGACCCACCATTTATACAGCATTTGTTCCCCTTTTCCCAAGGATGCTTTTGACCAAATTTGGTCAAAATCTGCTCAGTCGTTCATCACTAGTAGCGTTTTAAAGGGAAAAGTTGACGGACGGACGCTGCGGTATGGCATAAGCTCACCATGGTCCTTCAGACCAGGTGAGCTAAAAACTACAGACCAAGGGGAACCTACATATAAAATTTGAGAAAGATCCTTCCAGTACTTCCTGAGAAATAGTGATAGCAAGAATTGTTTAAGGTTGGATGACGGATGAACGGCGATGAACCACAGACGCAGGGCGATTTGAATAGCCCACCATCAAGTGATGGTGGGCTAAAAATATTGAAAACAAATAGGAATACAATAAACAATTGTGTTTTTGGACTAAAAATTCAGTGTTACCAGAACCTTGGACCACAGATTGCTCAAACAGACTGAGCTACCTGACCAATAAAAGGTTTTTTGCACTTCAGTTATATCTAAAATGAAATGACAGGAAGCTCTAGTGTTTTGGCTGCAGGGGAACAGGGATCCTGTATCCATCAGAAATAAATACCTGTGTGTTCTGGAAGTAATGTCTCCATAGAGGTCTAATCTTGTCCTGACCACCAACATCCCACACTGTGAAGTTGATGTTTTTGTATTCTACGGTCTCCACATTGAACCCTGGATAGAAAATACCAGCACTATAAAAGCAAAATATAATTTCACATATTTCTTATCTTGTTGCACAAATCAGGACGTAAAATCAGGGCTTCAGATTAATGGTACGCCCGGGCCATTCCCATGAATTTTGAAAATATAAGAATGTTTTGGCAAATGTTTATTTGAGTAATTTATTTAACCCTTTCACCCCTATGTAACTTTAGTAGACTCTACCATGCATTGATATGGAGGGGTCCATTATGGTCTACAGTGGTGAAAGGGTTAAAGCTATTCATCACGAAACTTTTTACTCACATCAGTGTTAATCTACTACAGGCAAAACTTGTGTAGGTTTCCATTGTAGTTTTTAACATCAAGACCCTTCCTTTAAAATTGCATGCGTATTAATGGGGTCTACGGACCAAGATACGTAATGACCATGATGACTTGCATTGCGGGAGTGACTTATCAACAAACCGTACGATCCGTACCGATAACACAATACATTGGTTCTATTTAGAAGACTTCTGGACCGCCTCTTTTTGTTGATAAGCCACTTCAGTGTAACATTCAAAATGGTGTCACTCAGGTGGGAAATTTTGAACAATTGAAAACCGAGAACTCTTCTGACAGAATCTAGAATGTTTGTGATAATAAAGGCGATTTTGGATCAATAAATATTAAACCCCTCTATTAATATGCGCGAGGTATGTGTTGTCATGTTTAGTAGATTTTTTGTTGTCATCACCGCAAAACTTCCATATACTGGCCCCACACCAGACATCTATCTGTCAAAAATTTCTAATTCTGATGTCAGAGCCAGAGAAAAATCAAGCTAATAAAAATGATGACATGATTTTGCAATATAAGATTCTATGATTATTTGCAAAATTGTCTGAATTGTGGTTTAACATTAATGCCATTTGTAAAGAAATGGAAAAAAAAGACTCAGATACTTTTAAACAAGTAATGAAAAAACAATTGCCTATATTTGTAAAACTTCAAATCTTATTAAATTACTCCAAATTTTATTAGACCTGCAATAATATTTACACAAAAAAACATTACAGGAATCGGTTTTCCAATAAGTATAAATATTATACCGTCATTCATTTCATTTATATTATCAATGAGTTTTGAATATACAATCTATTGCAAGAATGACCCATCATTTTTCAGCTTTATGGGTCAGGTGGCCCACTGTGGTCAAAAACAATCTCTCAAGTTCTGGAAATTAAAAAAGTACCTATATCATCTCATGAAATATATTAAAGCGCATACATTCAAACCTTCAAAATTGATGTGAACATGACCATAATAACCATTGTACTGTTTGTGGTAAGAAAAATGCCCTACAAATTATAATTTTTTGTCACATCAACTTGAAATTCTCACACTTACCAATAGTTGGAATTGTTGTAACAATTTCGCCGAGCTTTAATTTGTATAGAATAGTAGTCTTTCCCGCAGCATCCAAACCAACTGTAAAAAAATACACAATGTTTCAGTTAGGTCAGGTGGTAATTAAATATGGTAATTTATAGATTATAAGGTTTGGGGTCCCCTGCAATTTTTTTCTCATTTTTGTATAGCATCTTCATTAGTGCAACTGTCGCTTGTTTTTTAAATTTATGCATCAAATATTGCCACTGTATATAATATGTAGAAAAACACTCCACATACACCATCCAGACACCATGGACACGCCCCAGTGGCTTTTTCATAGCAAAATTCAAAAATAAGGAAGCTATTTCTGCTCTGTATGTTCACAGGTAACTCGATGTTGTGAGTCAAACTTTTTCTAAAGGCAAAATCATTTATCTAGATATCCACACATAAAAGCAAAACTGGTAATTAAATAAATCAAAAATCACTATTTCCCTGTACAAATGTATGATAACTACATAATTGACAACCCTAATTACTGCCCGAGACTTTTACAAATGCACTGGTTAGGGCTATGGGGTGGGGTTGCTTGTCAGTACTAGATATTATCACGGATATTCTTATTCCATGATATTATATATAGATCTAACACAAGTTTCCATTTCATATGTATCTTTATGAAACAAGTTTTTGATGTTTCAGTTTACCCAACCTAGAGCCCCAACCAGTAATGGTTATTAACCAGTAGATATAAACAGCACTGCGTGGACAATTTTCACGTTGGGACATTTGGCAAGAAACTATTGGAAATTTGGAATACTGGTTGTATTGGAAGCAGCCATGGATGTCTTTGTAAAGGACACAAAGTTCTACATCCTGTCGTCAACGGAACCTAAAACCTCCGAATAATATGTATATACTACATACAACCTACTGTATTACATACCTGCTAACCCCTGAATCTCCCATTGGGAAATTCTGTGGTGGGGTAGGGGGGGGGGGGGGGGGGATGATAATGCATGAAAATAATTAACATCAAATTTAATCATCTTGCATCACCTAAAAACAATACATTCTTTAGATCAACTAACACAAGTCAACTTGTTTACAATTCGTCGATTCTTGGCTATAATGACTATAAAGATAATTGGTCGGAGTCCAGTAGATATCTATATATCAATTCATAGGGCATGCATTTTAGACAACTTGATGTACTGAACTTGAAAATAATAGTTGAATTTTCTAGAACTTCCCAACTGGGATGAAAATCATCTATCGCGAATTCAGGGCTATCTGGGAATAACAGTCGCTTTTGGGAGAGATGAGACAATTCAATTTAGTAATAAGTGATGAATAACAAAATAACCAGATACACTTTCATATTCATTTCCTATGTTTTTGCTGGTTACCTACCCATGAGGATTCGCATTGCTTTACTCCCAAACATTCTATTGAATAGACTACTAATTGATAAACCCATTGTGTTATCGAAACAGCTTCCCAAACGTCCAAAGAATTGTCACATGCGATTGAACAAACAAACGGGTATCGTCCACTCCTGTCAACCAACAGACGTCGATGTCAGAAACGTGGATTTTATGTTACTTTTGCCACGTCAATTTTGCCAACATCTAACATTGATGACGTAGCCTGCAAGTGCCTGCACCACATTAGATATAAATTTGCGAAATGTCAAAAAATGTGGAACATAAAATCTCAACCGAAAAGAATAGTATCAACATACAGCAACGTATAGATAGCTTACTATCAAAGTTAACAAATCTATCCTATTTCTAACATTGAAAAAAAAGAAAGAATGAAAAAAGGGTAAAATGATGGCGAAAATATATACAACCAGAGACGTAACCACACAACAGTACAACAGTGTCTACACTGGAACCGGGGCTGACGGGGACCGTCGCTGACCAGGATCGTTGCATATTATAGCGTGTTTACCAAAAATCTGTAATGAATTGCATCAATATATGATTGATATTTAGCATGGTAAAGTATAAGCACCAAACTACCAAGAAAAAAGGACTATGATAATTGTTTTTAATACAAAAAGTCTAGCAGAAAAAATGTAGGGTCGGAACGTAACAGTTACTTCCCTTTGATCATGTAGATCTGCCTAAATTGTTATAGGTGTAGTACTACTAGTACAACGGAATTAGATTCCGTGGTAAGTACACACAGTTCAAAGGATATAAATACGCGTAAAACTGAAAATACCGAGTTCCTTTTCCTTCTCCAAATATTTTTTTCATGTAGGGCTATTTGTCAAAACGAAATAAACTGGTTCAAAGTAACATGTACATAATGAATCCAATTTTTTTCATGTTTGACACCGCCGTGACATTACAATCTTGAAAAACAAATTCAAGTAAATGGTTTTATTACTGATGAAATACCGGGCAGCAATGTAATTTTTTTCTGTCAAACTGTCATAAAAATAACCCAAACAGCCACACACAGCCGGACATGCACGTATTTTCTTTTTTCACACCCACTTATATATTAGATTATATTAAGAATCGAGATCGAAGACACCAGGAATGTTAATTATTTGAAATTTCTGTGTAACCTAACGGACTTAGATAATCTAATTTCTGTGTAACCTCACGGACTTAGATAATCTAATTTCTGTGTAACCTCACGGACTTAGATAATCTAATTTCTGTGTAACCTCACGGACTTAGATAATCTAATTTCTGTGTAACCTCACGGACTTAGATAATCTAATTTCTGTGTAACCTCACGGACTTAGATAATCTAATTTCTGTGTAACCTCACGGACTTAGATAATCTAATTTCTGTGTAACCTCACGGACTTGAATAATCTAATTTCTGTGTCACCTCACGGACTTAGATAATCTAATTTCTGTGTAACCTCACGGACTTAGATAATCTAATTTTTGTGTAACCTCACGGACTTAGATAATCTAATTTCTGTGGAACCTCACGGACTTAGATAATCTAATTTCTGTGTAACCTCACGGACTTAGATAATCTAATTCCGTGGTAACCTTAATCATTATATTTGGTAAGAAAAGGGGCACTACTATTTGAGGAAAAAAAACAGTAATCGAAAATATATCAATGATTGTATTCCGTATAGCCTATAACCATAGCTGTAAGCTTATATTATGTGTGTGTGTGTGTATACGGTCCTGATCGGGGACATCCTAATTTAGGAAATCAAATGGAAATTATTCCTGTATGTCATTTTTACCCAATACACACACTCATGAATGTGAATGAACAAGGGAGGTGTCATAATGATTTCCAAATGGTAAATCCTCTGAAGAGTATTACAATGATGAAATACTTCATACCAACACCTTAAAACAGACACGTTCCTGAGCGGGGACATCCTGATCAGGAAATCAAATGGTAAATATATCCGTCGTTATTCATCACATTCACATCAATAAAGTTAGCAATGAATACGATCAAAATAATGTGTTTTTATTATTTTTAAATGGAATATAGGTAACATGAACGATGAAACACTTTACATACATAAACATCTTATAACATACACGGTCTTGAGCGGGGACATCCTGATCTGGAAGTTATTCATCACATCAGTAAAGTTAACAATGAATACAGTCAACAGATGTGTCATTATTATTTTTAAATGCAAAATAGGTCTACATCTCATAACGTACACGGTCCTGAGCGGGGACATTTTTATCAGGAAATCAAATGTTAAATATTTCCGTTGTAATTGTAACAATGAATACAGTAAAAAGATGTGTCCTAATGATTTTTAGATGCAGACTAGGTAACATACCACACTTTTTGTAAATTTAACATCTTTAGCTCACCTGCCCGAAGGGCATGTGAGCTTTTGTCATGGCGCGGCGTCCGTCGTCCGGCGTCAATATTTTACTTTAACTCATTCACCCCTGAGATTTCATAATGAACTATTCCAACATTTGAATTGGAAGAGTTCAATTGTGTCTTTAGGGGTGAATGAGTTAAACAACTTCTTCTCAATAACCAAAAGGCCCAGGGTACTGATATTTTGCCAGTGACATGCTCGGATGAAGGGCTACCAACTTTGTTCAAATGAATGACTTTGACTTATATTCAAGGTCACAAGGGTTGAATATGTTAAAAACCTTTAAAAGAACTTCTTTTGAGTAACCAAGAGGCGTAGGGTGATGATATTTGGCTAGTAGCATGCTTGGATGAAGGGCTACAAAGTTTGTTCAAATGAATGACCTTCATCTTTTTTCAATGTCACAGGGGTCAGATATGTTTTAAACCTTTAAACTACTTCTTCTGAATAACCAAAAGGCCAAGGGTGATGATGTTTGGCCATTAACATGCTGGAATGAAGGACTACCAAGTGAATGACCTTCGCCCATATTCAAGGTCACAGTGGTCAATATATGTTTAAATCTTTAAATGATTTGTTCTGTATAACCAAAAGGTCCAGGGTAATGATATTTTGCCAGCAGTTAGCTGGGTTGAAAGACTATAAACTCTGTTCAACCTAATGCCCTTGCTCGACATTCAAGGTCACAGGCGTCATATGTTTACATATTTTAATAGGCTCTTATGAATCAAACACTGATATTCTGCCTGTAGCTGTATTTTAGTCCACTTTTTTTTACAAGTGTAAGATTAATACCAGGTGAGCGATGCAGGACCATTGGGCCTCTTGTTGATATTAGTATCGGACAGAATACCATAAAAAAGTTACATCCATTTGCATTGGGATAAGCAAACAGAGTGATTATCATCAAATTTGCTTTAGATCAACTGTAGGCAAAGGGGACTACATTTTGTATAAATTGAGGGTGTGGCCCCTTGGGAAATCAAGACAATTAAGTGGTTTTAATTCCTTCTACTTTGATTCGAGAGATTTGAACCAATTTTGGTTCAGAAAACCTTTGCACAGGCAAAAACATATAACTTTTGTATGAATGGAGGGTTAGAATGGGACTCAACTTGATACAAATGGAGTGTGTGGTTCTTAAGGGTGTGGGGGGTGGGGGGCTCAGACGTCCAGATCGATCCCTGGAGACTACCTCCCTGGGTCATCACATGGGAATAGTTGAGATCCCGCCACGCCATTACCATACGAAATTGCTGGGCATGATGAATACACTTCAATTATGTTCTTGTCTCTTATACCCACCCAAACGGATTTAGTCCTTCTTCCGTTTGTATTCTTGTACTCCTTTGATAAACTGGTATGGTACTCGACACACACACACACATACCAGGTGAGCTATTAAGGCCATTGGGCCTCTTGTTATAACTTGAAATCATGTAACATTGATGAAACATCCTTCACTTACAGAATCAGTTATGATTTAATGTTGGATCAAAAGAAGGAACAATATCATCACAGATAAAATTAGAATCTATCTAAGGATAGAGAAGAATATAATTCTAGCCTATATCTCTGTCTTTTCGAGATCTTACTATGTATACTATAAACTCTTTGTGGATCAAGATGAGAAGATAATTTATTGAAGCAGATTTATCTCTAGTCTAGATTTTATTATTTATCTTAAAAACTGGTATGATTTCGTTTAATTTTTTTTCCATAAAATTGCATCACCCTGAATTTCCATAAAAGGATTTGCGCGCCAGTCATCGCTATATTATTCAATAAGCATTGTAGGATCTTTTTTTTTCTTTCAAAATAAATATGAGCGTCCCCTCAATTGGTCATTATACTTGTTCGTGAACTGTTTGAGCAAATAGCGATGTAACAGCTATCTTTGATTGGACTGTTGACGTTTTGTCTTATCACTATTTCCCCGGGGGCAGAACGTTCTGGAAGTTCCTATCTTGGCGAAATTCCATCAGCGATACACAAATTAAACCCTTGGATTTTGGAGTTTAATTTTCAGTTTGATCGGAAAAAGAGGAAGCCACCAGGTAGACTATTCTGTGAAGCTTCCAAAAAAACAATGTACCGACTGCTTGATCGGAACAAAAGTTCAAGATTTCAGAAATATATCTTCTTTTTTTCAACACATTGCCATTATTTTTAATACTGTGGAATGACAACCTTACTTTGAAAGGACACTGTCAAACATGACAGTGAATTAAATTTTCCATTGTCTGAAATTGCGTGTATATATGGCTTTGAACTCATTTTTGATCAGCGTCGTTTTAAAGCTTCTCCTCCCGCCTCTAATAACATGAAAACAACTGTTAATAGCGAGAAGGAAACATATTGGTGACGTGAGGCTCTTCCAAGAATCTCGTTTGGCATTATATGTCTCTGTTTGCACGTACGACTCATTTTGAGACACTTCAATATCGAGAATATAAGGGGAAAATCTCATATCAAAATAATAACTATAAAATTTAGAATGTAAATATTTGTATTGAACAGCGTTTTCAATGTACGTAACGGTAATGAACGCAAATCGGCTACATACATATTACCCAGAAGCTGCAAAATGCCGTTTTTTAACCACAATCCCACAAGGTGCATAGTCTGTTAATTGTCGTGACAAGTTAATCCAACAGAAACAGAAACAAGAGAATCTGTCAAACTTGCATAGAACTGATCATACGACGGTGGGCGCCAATATTTTTCTATGATATCCTCTTCGATTTCGAGCGCGCGCAAAAATTGTTAAAACTTGCATGTAATAATGTATGATGGCGGCTTGATTTCGCTCTCTTT